TTTTTTTTTTTAAAACTTTCCAGTCAAGCCAGTAACTTTGGAATTCCCATGTGATCCCCCATTCATGTATTAATCATATTGACCTGCTTAGTGTCTGAAATAGCCAAAGTTTGCTAAGTGCTGCTATCTGCTGAGGCACTGTACTGCTGACATTGTGCTAAAAAGACTATGTTGTAGATCTACTTAATTTCCACAATGAAAAGTTTATCTGGGTTGTTGATTTAATTACCAAGGTTTACATCAAACTTAATAAATATATTCTGTAGATTAATCTTTCTCTTTGCTAGATTATATTACTTTGTGTATATATATTAAAATATATAAAAATCGTATGTTAATTTTGTTGAAACATCTCAAGAAGTAGTATAATTTGCCATATGATGTAACACGTGCTCATTTTTCAAAAAATGTGCCACACTGAAAATTATAACTTAAGTATACTGTCTTGATCTGACCATCAGAGATGTTAGTTTCCCATCAGTTGTAAGAGCAACTAAATATTCAAAGTAGTACAACTGCTTCATTGTAATTATTAATAACTAATTAGTGACCTAGCATAAATAATGTTTATGCTACTAATTAAATTATAAGCCCCAACCCCTTAAGATAACATTTCAAATGGCCCTGGCATTGCTGGAAGCAATCATAGGAACAGATCTATGTGATTATTCTATGAATAATTCTATAAATAAATAAGTAAAATCCATGGTTCAACATTGGCCAGTAGAAAAAGGTTCCAAATATTCCTCATTCCAACCAAAGCAACCAGATTTAGTATATGTAATTGTTTTATGTGCTGACACATATCTTGAGCAGAGAATGGGGAGAAGCATTCCTCTGAGACCCATGTTTCTTCTTCTCCCCTGAACATTCATCCTTGAAAGGCAATGACAGATCAGATTGGAGTAACTTCTAAATGCATAGAGTTTCCAGAAGAGAAATTAATGTTTATTCAGGAAAATGAAAACAAACAGAATTGTGATGGAAGGCATGAGCGGGGAAGATTCTGGAAGGGAGCTTCAAGGTTACAGGGAGGGGGAGTGACATTCCAAGCACCTCCTCAGCCCCCCGCCTGGACTGTGTGAAAGTAAGGAGGAAGAGACTGGCCCCTCCTTAAGGGCTTGATGTTTATAGTTGCTCTCGTTGGGGAATTAGAGTTAGTCTGGCAAGATTCTGTCTATTAGGTGCAAGCTAATAAAGAAGC